ACAAAGGAAGAAAGAAAAAAAGGGAAGGAAGGAAGGAAGGAAGGAAGGAAGGAAGGAAGGAAGGAAGGAAGGAAGGAAGGAAGGAAACAATAGCAATAGTACTTAAACTTACATACTGCTTCACGGTGCTTTCCAGCCCTTTCTAAGCGGTTTACAGAGTCAGCCTCTTGCCCCAAATTACAGGCAGCCAGCACTCAGTAGAAGTGCAGTAGAAGCCTGCAATACTGCACTCTAACCAATGAGCCACCAAAACTCCTAAGGTGACAGGCTGGTTCACACAACCTGCCCAGACACAGGATGGGCTCCTGCAACAGGCGGACTGACCCCAAACTCTTCATCAAATCCATTGCACAAACCATCTGGCATTATGCTTTCCAAGCACTGCAGTGCCCAGTTCGACTCCTGAAGACTTCAGGGACACGTCCAGGAGTAGCTTTCTTAGCAACAGTAAGATGGGTCTATTTTTCCTTCATTCTCCTAGTCTATCCTCCAACTTTGGCATTTCCTGGGGGTCTCCGGTACTAATATTAATGGACCCTGTCCTTGCTCAATTTTTCAGAGCTGGCCGTGTGCTAGAAGACTTCGAGCCTGTTACTTTCTATGTCAAGTTCTTAGGATTGCTGCCATAATAATAGGGGAACGCGTATAATGGAATACTAAATTCCTGAAGGATAAAGCCAAACTGAACAAACTTATAAAGAAATGGTTCCAGGAAGGAGAGCCTCTCCTTTGGATGAGAAGAAGGAAAGCATCGATCAAGCAGCTGTAGAGAAAAGCCCTCTCGCTTTTCTTTCTGCAAAACTTTTCCGCCTTCGTAAATCAAATTAGATTAGATTAAGTCAAAGAGGGATAGAATCAAGATCAGATGGTGTGTTCTGACCTAGGCTTCACCAAAGCATGAAGAAGACTCCTTGTCCCAATAAAACCCCTGTTTATGAAGCTCACGAGAATTCCTCTCATTCACATCCAGGAAAATCCCAGCAAACAGTCTTTCAAGGGTGGATATACAACCACAGACCGTATCAGGCTTGGAGAGCTGCCAGGCTGATATCTTCCAAATGCAACGCTGTACAAGAAAATACTTTGCGAGGAGTCTCTGAGAGTCACGGACAAATCTTCACACTAATTAAGCAAACTAATTGTCTTCTGCAAACTCCCCTCCCCTTTCGCTCCTCTTTTAGTCCATGGTGGGGGGGCATTCACCGTCCACTTGTGCCTTTACTCTCAAGTCGGCCCTTGTTCCTTAGCTGTTCCTTTCTCCTGGCAGCTCTGCGCATGTGCACACTGGGAACAGGCTCCACCTGTTCTTCTGCCCCACTGATCTCCAACTCTGAAGGCAGCTGATAACTGGCGGACGGCCCTGGCCCATTCTCTGCCTCCGACACAGAGCCCTCGTCCGAGCCTTCCACAGACTCCAGGACTGGCCCAGGTTCCTCCCCAACCTCCTCAATGTCTGAGTCTGCCACAAACTCTGCTGGCCACTGGCGGGCCACAACCAAGTGTTAATGCCACTTTATAATCCTTTGGTAAGGCCACACTTGCAATGCTACATTCAGTTTTGGTCGCCACCATATAGAAAAGATGTGGAGACTCTAGAAAGAGTGCAGAGAAGAGCAACAAAGATGATTAGGGGACTGGAGGCTAAAACATATGAAGAACGGTGACTGGAACTGGGCATGGCTAGTTTAATGAAAAGAAGGACTAGGGGAGACATGATAGCAGTCTTCCAATATCTCAGGGGCTGCCACAAAGAAGAAGTGCTATTCTCCAAAGCACCTGAAGGCAGGACAAGAAGCAATGGGTGGAAATTAATCAAGGAGAGAAGCAACTTAGAACTAAGGAGAAA